ATTTTTCTTAAATAGATACATACATGTGTATTTATATATGCATAATAAATATTCACAGTACACACACATATTATATAAATAAAAACTTTTATTTTGGATGCTATTAATCGCGATTAATCGATTTGACATCACAAATTTTTATTATATATATATATATATATACACACACACAATACAAACTAATGCACATATCTGAAGAATCTGTAATGTCAAGAACTTTATGTATCTCCAAAGAAGTAGGAAAGAGATCTTTACTAAACTTTTACATTCATGCATTTAGCAGATGCTTTTATCCAACAAAAACTTACAGTGCATTCAAGGATTACAGATTCACGCATTAGGTTCAGATTGACTGTCTTTGCCTGCATATAAATGACTTGCTACCAGAAAACAGATGACATTATATAATATTCCACATGGACAGACAGAGAGAAAGTCCAAAGTGCTGTGCGTTTTGAAACTGCCCATCTGAGCATGGAAATTCTGATATCTGTCTCTCTTGTGTATATAACACCATAGCCATTCTCTGAGGGACCGGCCCACACACACACACACACCTCATCACCATGGAACACTGACCCAGAATTCCCGGTGCTCTTGATCAGATCAGCACGGTGCGAGCGCTATCCACAATGACACTCCGTAGAGATGCTAGAGGTGAAGGGAGAGAGAGAAAGAGCCTGGATGTTGTTCACATGCAAACCTCCCAGCATGCCCTACATGAGGCGGTGTCACGAAATTACCAATAAAATATACAAGTCTGCGTTTCTTAAACTGAACAACAATCATTTATATTATGCAATTCATTTTAACATCACAATAGTTTGTTGTAGTTTGCACAAACCATTTAAATAGACCACAAGAGTGTGTTGCACGATGCCTCTGTAGGGTCTCACAAGCTCATGTTTGAAAAACTATGTCAGTATTGTAATGAAGAGGAAAGGCAAGGAGGGGTGTGTTAGACACATAAGAAAGAGAGCAAGGGAAATGTATTGCAAGATATAAAACAGTGTCTCTTTTGTTTATCGTGTTGCAATTTTCTTTATTCTGAACTGATTTTGGAAGGAAATCTGTGCAATTTTTTACATGTTCCAATGAGGTAAATACGTTCTTATCGATAGCTGAAAGCGCAATCAGATTACTCAAAATATTTTATAAACAAGGTCAAAGGATGTGTAAAAGTTTGGGAACGGTGAGCATTTTAATTCTGCTGATATTTCTGTAGAGTGCTGCGGGCGCAGTTTCAGTGTAGGCCTGGCTATAAGCCGTTCAAAGACAACCCCACTGAGCTTTGGGACTTATACAGATCTGTAGGTCTGTTACTATGTAGAATAGTGAAATGATGAATCCGTGCACTCAGCCTTACTGCAGCCACTGCCCTCTAGTGGCACTTCCAGGCCTTGCAAGGCAACTAAACTGCAGAGCTGGTCGTATACAGCACATGGAGACTTCATGCAATAATAACCTTGCGTCTTAAAGGAACAATGCAAACGTCTATTTTTAAATGATCAGTGTGCTATAAATACAGCGAAAGGGAACGGATATGGTAAAACACTGAGGCGAATCGGTGAAACAGAAAGGGGCAGAAAGAGTCAGAAGGTCAGAGGACAGTCAATACGTTATTATTTACCCATAATCTCACTGGGTTAAGAAGAGGACACGTTTGTGCATGTGGGAATAATGGTGAATATAGAAATTCAAATATTTAGAATTAGAACTAAACAGATTATTGTTGAACCCCTTTTATAATACTAAAAACGTATAAATGTATCTGACTAGCTCAACAGTTCACGTAATAAAATAGTATCAATATAAGCGAGTTTGGGGTGGGACTATCTAGCAATTCTGTCTCACATTTCCGGTTGGTGACACTAGTGGCGCCAAATTACTAACTTAATTTTAGTGTTTTTTAAGACAAATCATTTCTCTGTACACATCTTAATCACCACACATTAGGTTGAGTATAGTTTTATTAAGACTTATAATACAGAAATAGTAAAGCTTAAAAACATATTTTAAAAATGTCAACAGCAGCAAAAGCAAGAGGAGAAACCTTTTTGTTCGTGCTTATCGTATGTGCTAAAGACATTCAAGTGAGCTACAAATCACATACAGGACAGCACACGCTAGAACACTTGGGGAAAATACACAGTTTCTCTCAGCCTGATTCAAACTCAACTTTTAAAGGTGCACTCAGTAATTTTCCCTTACTTATAAATGAGTTGTACTTTGAGAAATATGTTAAAAATCATCATATGAGATAAAGATTCATATTGGTAGTCTAAAGAAATCACTACTTTTAATCAGCAAGGACACATTACAGTGAATTTTTCTTTTCATAATTCATGAATACTGAAAAAACGTTTCACCATTTCCAAAAAAACTAAAAATTAAGCAGCAAAATTGTTTTCAGCACTGATAATAATACTAATAAATGTTTCTTGCGCAGCAAATCAGCATATTAGAATGATTTCTGAAGGATCATGTGACACTGAAGAATGGAGTAATGATATTGAAAATTCAGCTTTGCATCACAGAAATAAATTATATTTGAATATATATTCAAATAGAAAACAGTTGTTTTAAATTGTCATAATATTTCATATTACTACTACTTTATTCTGTATTTTTGATCAAATAATTGCAGCCTTGATGAGCATAAGAGACATCTTTAAAACAACACAAACCTTTGAACTTTCAAAAAAATGTAATCATGGATGTTGGCAAACATTTCTACACTGGCACTAAGAAGTGAGAACTTCAACACCAGAATAAGGGAAACAAATATTACTGAGTGGACCTTAAATTCATTCAAACTCTTCTGAACATTTACTCTTCTGAAGTGAGTATACTGAAATTGAATTGAACTGAGTTTTTATAATGATGCACTGAAAGCGTTCATTAATAATAAAGGTCCAGATTGACTGTTCTATGTAACATACACACATTACACAAACACACACCAGTGCATCACTCATGACAGCACTGTCATGAGTGCTGTCTACATTACATGTCAATCAAAGGTTTTCAGCATAATTGTGTAAAATTAACATGAAACAGATCTAGGATCAGTCTGTTTTTTTCAACATATGATAAATAATATTAAAGTAGGACTAAGGATCACAATTCCAAACCGCAAGAATTAAACACAACTATCCCAAAGGAAACTACACTGAACAAAATTATAAACGCAACACTTTTGTTTTTGCCCCCATTTTTCATGAGCTGAACACAAAAGGTCTCAGAGAACTAGAAATACTCTTCTGGCATTAAAGAGACCATCAGAAAAAATATAATACTCAGCCTTTGACATAAAACTCTTATATTTCAAACTCTATTTCTTATTAAACGTCTTTTAAAATGACAACTGCAACTGTTCCCTTTAACTCATACATTTCTGTGACTGTAAAAAAAAAAATGTTGCCGTTTCATTCATATCCCATTCTCTTTGTTAGGTTTATTTTGGTTGTGTGTATTTGTTGTATGCCTATGGAAAATATGGAGAATTATTTTTGTCAAGCTTGTTTCCCTTGTACAGCTCATTCTCAAATAAAGCATATGGGGGGGGGGACCTATTGGACCAAACCTATTGACTAGCTTAACCAGCTTCACCAGAAAGATCACCTGGACCAGCATGGGAAGAGACCTTGACCAGCTGGTTTAAGACATCCCTGGTTGCACTACATTAGTTAATATGTCAAAAATGGCCTGTTGAAGTGTTGGAAATATTCACTGATTAATATCTTCTCTTATTTCATCTGCAGCAGCAACTGAGCAATGAGTTATTTGTTGCTATGAACACATTTGAACTCAATAAATAAGAGATACAAAGAATAGCAGTGTGTTTGCATTCAGTCGCAAACAGCTGATCAATCACAGGATGATGTTAATTTCTACATTGATTTAATTAGGATGTTGAAAAGTTGCAATGACCTAATAGCATTCAATATCTCTCGTATTTGAATCCATTTAAGCCATTTATCATCTAGATCCACTCACATAATGACATGACTTTCCCAGGCTGTTCGGCAGTCGTGAGCACGTGCTAATTTTACCACCGGCTGACTCTTAAGAAACTAATGCTAAACTCTGCTGTGATGTTGCAAATTGGAATGTAATGTCGCCATAGTAACACGTTCACTTCTTTTTCAGGTACATGTGAAACTAGCCAACGTGACTGTAAACAACTTGCACTGACTTGTTCTAAAAGATTGTTTTAAAAATAGTACCGCTCTGGCTGAACACTTAAGAAAGAAAGGCAGTGAAATGTTAAAGATGGTTAAGTTTACTCAAAGGATTGGTACTAATACAAATCAGACATGTTAGCTTGGTTTCAAAACCTAGCGAGTTGCCTTTGTTTTAGTCACATTTAAAGGGATAGTTCACCCAAAAATGAATATTCTGTCACTTACTCGCACCCCACTTATTCCAAACCTGCATGAGTTTCTTTCTTCTGTTCAACACAAAAGAAGATATTTTGAAGAATGTTGTTAACCAAACAGCTGCTGGCAGCCATTGAGTTCCATAGTAGGAAAAAACACTATGGAAGTCAATAGGGAACAGAAAGAGTTTGATTACCCACATTCTTCAAAATATCTTCTTTTCTGTTCAGCAGATGGTTTGGAACAACATGAGAGTGAGTAAATTATGACAGAATTTTCATTTTTTTGGTGAACTATCCCTTTAAGGCAACACCGCATGTGTCCTTCACAGGTTTTTATTTCAGTTAGGATGATGTCTAAGTAGATGGCAGACAGTGAGGCACCTTACTAGGGTTTGAAATAGAGCTACTGTGTGAATTCAAAGGCAGTGTTGTCGTGAAACATCAAAAATTAAGATTTTTAATCTGACTGAAAACACAGCAAGGAGACGCTAGGATTTCCCCCTTGGGGAAAGTATTCTATGCTAGGCATTAGCGACTATACATTTAAAAATCTAACTCGAAGAAGACGACTTGGATCGCTGAACAATCCAGTCTGAAGTTAAATTTACATCCACTGTGGACTCCTTCGAACATTTTCCGTACCTTTTTACATTCTTGCATCTTTTTAAGCCTCAGACTCTGATTGGTCAGTGGTCACACTGCCGTTCTGCTCTCCCACAACCGATTGGTCCTGGGTATTTGTAACTCCGCCCACAGTAAATGTTGGCCCGTCTCCCTCCCTGACAGATTCTGAATCGGTGGACTTCCCCGTTTGCTCAGTCAGATTAGGCCCCTCCCATTTCTCTTCATCAAGCCGACTGGAAATCGACCAATAGAGATGAGCGTCCAAACGGGCGGTAGCCAATGCCAGCTCTCTCGCAGAACAGGAGGGCGTGTTCACCTTTAAAAGATCATAAACAACTTTAGGTAGTGTATTTAAAGCATTTATCTTATTCCTCATTCTGTGAATGATAGCTAAAACACATAAATCCTGCTCAATTTGATTGCATCGGTCCTTTTACATACATTTAAGTATTTTGTACATTTACACTCGCATATATTTTAAAAATAAATAAATAAATAAAATGTCTAAATATTAATTTAAAGAGTAAAAACAACTAATTATCTAAACTATTTTGAAATATAAATATTGACTAATTATCACAATATTATTTATTTAGAAAATGTAATAAAAATATCTATATATAAATATGAATAAAAAAATATTAACTACATGTAACAACAGTATTTCTTTAAATAAATTAAAATGGTTTATTAATTAAATAAAATTAAATCTAATTATATCTAATTGTCTAAACATATTTTATAAATATTAACTAATGATCACAATATTATTTATTTATTTACTTATTTATTCATTCATTCATTTAAATGGTTTATTGTAGATTTATACAAAAATACTCTTTGGCCAAAGGATAGAAAGTGAGAATGTGATTGCATAAGTAGTTTGATTTCTTCTGGTGATGTGTATTTATGACTCATCCAAAACTACAGCAACACCTAATGCAGAATTTTTGATCGATTACGCACATAAAAACCCATAAGTAAAAAGAGAAATCTCTGATTTTGCTCTATAATAAAGTGCTGGTCAGCCTTGCACAGACTACAGAACTAGCTAATGGTTTCAACATAAATTATTTAATTGAAAACTGTATATTTGTACACACATATTTGTTACACCACATAAAAATATTTAAATGTAAATATTAATTTAATCAAATTAAATATTACCTAAATATCACAATATTATTTCCTTTTTTAATATAATATAAAATTGTTTATTGTAGCTTTATACAAAAATGCTGTTTGGCCAAAGTACAGAAAGTAAGTAGTCTGACTTTTTCTGGTGATGTACAATCATGACTCATCCAAAACTACTGCAACACCTAAAGCAACTTGAATCAGAATTTTTGATGGATTATGCACATAAAATCCAAAAAGTAAAGATAGATATCTCTGGTTCTGCTTTATAATAAAGTGCTGGTCAGCCTTGCACAGACAGATGATTATTACAGAGACTCTGAAGCTAATACGGTGGTATCAACATATATTACTTAACTGAAAATTTTGCAAGGGATTTAGGGGAAAACTACATGAGAGATGATGCAAACTGCAAAATGAAACCCAGATATGGGGATCCAGCTACTTACCAAACAACTAAATGCATGCAAATGAAGTTTAGCATCATTACACTCTTAAAAAAAAAAAAAAAAAAGGTTTCATAGCAATAGATTTTTGGTTCCCCAAAGAACATTTCAGTGAACAGTTCTTAAAACAACTGTTTTTTTTTTTTAGTGCAGAGAACATTTTATCCTATAATCTAAAGAACCTTTTCCACTATAAAGAACCTTTTGTGGAACGTAAAAGTTCTGTGTTCTTCATGGAGCCATAGATGCCAATAAAGAACTTAATTTTTAAAAGTGTAAACTAAAATATTTGACCGAAGAACCACAAATTGTCCAATTAGAAATACCTATTGTACACCACATACCTCAAATGTGTGGTGAAAAGCCCCATAATCCACGTCAAAAAATCCCTCGGCCAGAGACATCATGGGACTAAACCTGTGACCCCATAACAGTTCTTCAGCCAGGTAAGAGCTCCGCGCCTGACAGGTCATTCCTGTAGATCAGAATATATCCGTCGACTACTAAACACAGATCAATACAACCCATTTCGCATGATAAACTGAGTATTAGTGTATGTACCTGTAGCTTCTACCATCCCCTCCAAGATGACCACAATCTCAAAGTCCTCTTTCTCCAGCTGACCTTGTGACATGTCCCAGAACGGAGAGCGGACATCGATCTCGTGAGAGATCACCAACGGAGACACCAGGAAGAGACGATCGTCCCCCGTCTCGAAACCCACACTGATATCCGTCTGATCCAGCGGAATAAACTCACCTAAAGAGAAAGACAACAAAACAAATGGTTCTGATAAGAGAATGTTCACGCCATGTCTTTGTATGATATAAACAGCAGGTGGCGCCAATTCATCAGTAACTAGGTGTATGTGAGGCTGCTTATGTTGCAGATGAGTCTGTGTGAGGCTGGTGAGTGCTGTCTTACCCTCCTGGGTCTGTTTGGATTTAATAAGTTTGGCTCTCATGTTGGCGCCCACAATGTGGGAGGATCTCAAGTCCCCGACACGAAACATCAAACAGAGCATGTCATCCCGCAATGAGATGACAGCATTACGAGAGAACACCAATGTCTCGGCACGCTTATTCGGCTGGGAGATCTTCACAAACATGCAACCAACCTAGTGAGAGAAGCAGAGAAAGAAACTATGTGATTTTTACTTTTTCTGAGTGCTGCTCAGAGATGTTGTTTACATAATATAAAAAAAAAATTTTTAAAAATAAAACAAAGATTATTGGAGTATTTTTTTCCCCATTTTTCCATTTTCCATTACATTTTTTACCATTTCTTTGTAAATATTTGTGAAATTTACTAGTGAATTTCTGAGTGAAAATTGTTTCTACAATTATTTTCAGTCTATTTATTAATATTTCAAATGAGCAGTTTTTATTTAAATTTTTGTTAAAGTTTTATTAACGTGCTTTTGTCATTTTTTTTATATTACTATTTAGCTTTAATTATTTAAGATTTAGTCATTTTAGTATATCAACCCTACACCAATTTTTTTCAGTCTAACTGAAATAAAATAGGTTGAAGTTTATCTCGGATCTATTTTAAATTGCTGATAAATTAAAAACAACAAAAAAAAAGCAAAGAAACAGTAACGCATTTAAGAAAGACTGAAATAGTATTTTCAAGTAAAACATATTCCAATAGCATTTGTTTTATTTACAAATCATTAAAAAATCATTTAAGTGTCTTTTTTTTAACATTGTTTAGCTACATCAGTTTTATTTCAATTAACGATTTTTTATAGTTTTAATTATAGTTGTAAGAGTAATAAGTTATTTGTTTCTTTATGTGAAATTAATAATTGTGTGGATTATGCAATTGTTAAATAATTGCAATAAAGTAATTTAATTAGTTTCTTATAATACTGTAAAATGATGGTGGCATCGTTTTCAGCAAATGACTGTTAGTTTTTGTCATGCAAGATTGGAGCGATACAGAACATTTTCCAGATAATTTTGTTATTAATCTTTACCTAAAACAAAGTTACTATCGGACAACCATTCAAGTCTATCGGATGCCATTCGAGTTCAAATCATGTTCACATATTAAGAAAAAGCATTAACTATGTAATTCTGGATGGACCGCTATCACAATAGTTAAAGTCAAAATGTACTAAAGCTATAGGATTTTTTTTTAATTTGTATCATTTGGCAGGTGAAAATTTGGTGACTTGGGAAAAAAAACAGCACAACAAACCACATGATTTGAGGACAATTAGGAATGATATGTAAAAGTTTATAAAGTTTAATATACTAAATAAAGATTAATACTTAATTCAAATCTCTAACCCCAAATATGAGCAATAGTACTAGTGATGTTTGCCTTCACATACCCCACTAATTAAAAAGAAAGTGAGACATATGAGGACAATTAATTTAATCTGTTAATCTGGGTTTAGAAAAGCAAATACTAGAGGACGTGGCATTTAGAGAGCGTGTGTGAGCGTGTGTGTGTGTGTGTGTGTGTGTGTGTGTGTGAGAAACGTAGCCCCTGGGGGCAACATTTAAACCAGGACATAGAGATATAAATGAACTCATCATAACCATAAAAATACATCAAAATAGGCCAGAAAAGAGATTGCAAAGGGGGTTGAATTTGGCAAATGCAACAGAATTAGAAAACGAGAAAAGGAAAGCCAGACACACATCTGTGCTCCAAAATGCATGACTCCTTTGCTCTTGGTTATGGATGATATAACTCAGTAAAGCACAGATCAACAAACCAAAGCCACGTGCAATGAAAAGACACTGCTTTTCCAGACCACATCATACATGGGAATCATGCGGCACTTTCTGCAAAAAGAGTGCAAATAGTACTTCAAATGTACCTCAAAACAATTATTTGCTTTTTCAACAAATGGGAAATAAAAAGAGCTGCTTAACCTTCACAAAATCATCAACCTCAGAGTCAGGAGGTGAACTAAATATTATATGTGCTATAAATTTCTATTTCTTTCGCAACCCTGTTACCAAAATCTGAGACATGCACCCATCTGTGATTTTGTTATTTTCTAAAATAATACAGAATACAGGTCAAATAAACAAAATTAAGTAATAAAAAAAATCAAAATAACAGTGTTTCAAAATTAAGGGGAAAAATTATGTATATACAGTACACGCACATAGGGACTAGAAGGTTTTACCAAATATATACTAATGTCATAAAAATAATATAATATTATTAATAATAATATTTAAAAAATAATATTGTTGATAAAAATGTCAAAATAATACAGTTGCAAAATTAAGATAAAATTACAGAATGTATTTTGTCATTTTTTATAAATTATTACATATACGTTGTGTTAGCAGCACAATAGTGGGTTCGATTCCCAGGGAATACACACACTGGTAAAAAATGTATAACCTGAATGCACTGTAAGACATTCATAATTATAATAATTAATTATTTATTTAAAATGTATATATATATATACAGTATATATGATACTTTCTACAAAAAGAGTGCAAATAGTACCTAAAATTGTATTTGTAATAAATAATGTTAAGTATTGATATTAATAATATTAAATTATACTAATATTAATAATATAAAGATAACCTAATATTATTAAAATAAAATTTGTTTGTTGTTCTTCTTATAATGGCTGGGCTTGATTAATGGAGTCAACATTAAAATTTTGTATAAAAATTTTGAAAATATAATTCTTAGATTGCACAGCAAAAACACGAGATTTGTGATTCTTTATCTTTTTTAAAAAGCAATTGGACGCCAAAGTGTGCCATATTTTTGTGGAAGGTGGCCTGTGTTTGATCTTACCATGAATGCATTGACCATAGATCCCAGTATGGCCTGTAGTAGGAGTAACATGGTGCCCACTGGACACTGGTCAGTGATGACACGGTGACCGTAGCCAATGGTTGTCTCCGTTTCAATGGAGAAAAGAAACGCAGAGATGAATCCATTAACATTATTCACACATGGAGTCCACGCCTCGTCCTCCAAATGATCCAGATCCCCCCTGCCATAAGAAAGAGGAAGGGAGAGAGATCATCCAACAGCAACAGAGATGTTTTGTTTGTGAAAACGTGTCCTTGTCTTTTTTTAAATCACACAGTCTCCTTTAGTAAATTGGCTCTTGCATCTTACAGCGCAAAGAGGAGCGCTTGTTCTCAAGTGTCCACCCACACAGATTAATTGTGTTCATATCTAAGTGTGGACGACACAAATGCACTGCAGCTATGAGCAGAAAACTTTTTTTTGCCTTCAAAAATAGAATCTTATGATTTAAAAGGTTAAAAGACACAAAACTGTGCGTTTGTGTATGTTATTCATACCTGCAGTATGCAATGAGGTACCATATTGCTCCAAAGAAGAGCCAGGTGACTGCATACGCCATGACAAAGACCAGCAGAGAGCAGCGCCAGTTCAGATCCACCAGAGTGGTGAAGATATCCGTCAGGTATCGGTACGTCTTGCGCATGTTACCGTGCTGCACATTACAGCGGCCGTTCTTCTCCACATAGCGCTGCCTCTTACGCCTGCTGCGCCCTGGAGAGAAACACCGAAAAATTCGAGTGTGTAAAAAAGGACACAAAAAGTAGGCAAACACCGTCACTGAGCAGCTTACCACAATCCATACCAAAAAACTGACAAGAAGTAAAACTGAGTGAGACGCATTCAAAAACTAAGAAACGGCTACATTTATAAGCAGAAGAACAGTGACACTGTGCTCCTGTAGAGGTGTTAGAGAAGTAGGTCAGTCTGTTTCATTACAGGTAAGCAGAACAAAATCTTTGACAGCCACCGACTCCTACATCATCTAAAGTAATTGAGTCTTACCCCATCCAAACCTGCCCCTCTCTTGCCCCGCCCCCTGAAGTTTCTTCCTGGGCTGACTGGCTTGTGCCTCCCTCGCAGCCATCTTGGCCTGGAAGGACATGCTGTTATTGGTCGGTGGCTGTGTGGGCGGGGCTGTCTCCGTGGTTACGACGTGCCCCAGCTCCTCAAATGTGTTCTGAACATCCGTGGGCGGAGCATCCTTTGGGGCCTCCTCCACAGGCTCCTCCCCTTTCTCTGGAACTGGGAGGGACAGGGATTCAGGGCACGAGGAGAAGCCGGTGTTGTCCAGTGCCATTGTGTGTGTGTGTGTGTGTGTGTAAGTAATAAGTGAATTTGTGTGTGGTAACAATGTTTCTCAGTGCCTTATTCTCAGTTGCAGTGTTTCATTTGTGCCTTTGTTTGATTTCTGTGAAAAAGACAGTGAGAGAGACACAGATAGACACTGATAAAATCGAAAAAGACCTAATTAACAAGTTTTACCAATGGGCTGACAGTTTTATAACATCCTCTGATGACATTCTCAGAATATCAAAGTAATTTGCAACCACCCAAAATGGAAAGGGCTTTATTTCACTGCTGATTATTGCTAAGCGTTCATTTTAACCTTGCCTTTCATTCACTGCCGCCGTTATGCATTAAGCATCCAATTAACTGCCTGAAATTAACTTAAGTAGATTACATTGATGACTTCATGCAATTCAACCTTTAAAAAAAAACATTTTCCATATCAAACACACAGCTGATGAAGGTCGTTTCAATACACAGTCAAACATCCGAGAAGGGCTCTTAGAAAAACACACAAACCCAAAGAGCAGACTGATATACGGATGTCTAACTTGACTTGAATTAACCTCCGGGTTCAAGAGCTAAACACATTTTCAGAAGAAAGTGAAAAGGCAGCTAGAGGATTTAGGCTCACTTAATCCACAGCTCTGATGCCCACACACATACAAAATGTACCCAGAAATGGGCAACCGTCCACGTGATACTAAACATACAGGTCTGAGTTTCCCAAAAGCATGGTAAGCCTAAGCAGATCGTAGAAACCATTGCCACCAACTGTCTCTACAATATACTTAGGCTTACGATGCTTTTGAGAACGCAGATGAGTACAATTAAAGGATTGTTTGAGGTTCAAAAGGAGTGAAGATCCAAGCCAAAGATGCTGCTGATTGCCACAGACAGTAATTGTGATTTGTTTCATTGTGTTTACTGTAATGTACTTACAATGGAGGTCTATGGGACAAGACAGTCTATAAATGTGCAGTCTGTGAAAGCCCATATTCATTGTTTCATAAAAATGCGTGCTATAAGAGCTATAAAGCTGTCTAAATCGTGCTGTGGGATTACTTATCAAGGCTGATTCTGGTAGGTGCATTTTTTTTCTATGTAAACAGTCTATCTCTGCTATATTTTCAATGCAGAATTCACTGCCTTGAAAAGTCATGACAGGAGAAAAGTGGATGTAATGTTGAAAACACAATGGTAGTAAGGGATCTTAGTCTAATCTCATGTTAAGCATTATATAATAAATGTATGGGGCCACAGTTTCAAAACAGCATTTTGACATTTTTCCTGGTGCAAAGTTCCATAGATTTCCATTGTAACTGAACTAAAAAAAACCTACTATCTACTAAGATAACTAAAACTGAAATAGAAATTAATAAAAAATAAATAAAAAAAAAGTGTCAAACACACCACAAAATTGTAAAAACTTTAAAGTTAAACTTTAAAAATAAATTGAAAATTGAAAATATTAAAATTAAATAAAAAACTATTCAAAATAATAATAAAAAACATAATAGTATCTCAGGGATACTAAAATAAGTGTCCATAGAGGAAACAATAAATAAATAAATAAATAGTTTCCAACTAGTTTCCAAGACAACATTTCTCAATTTCATTTAGTTCAACTTGATGTAATTAAATATAACTAAATCTGAAATTATTAATAATTAAAAAAAATGTATATTGAATTAAAAAATTTTTTAAAAACTATACAGCCATGTTAAAAAATAATGAAAAGGACAAAAATACTCCACACAAAATACTATTTAACTAAACTAAAATAAAAACAAAAACAAAGCACAACTTGGTGAGTTTAAGCATCCTGACCATTGCAACTGTCGCAAACAAGGCCATCAGTGCCTTTTCGTGTTCGGGAAACCTGTCTGAAAAGAGTTATTTTCACAATGCCTCATACTGCCCCAGAAATCACACAATCAGCTTTAACTTACAAGCCAAAACATTCCATAAACAACACAATACGCACAACACAAAAACCTCGATCCTCTCAGAAAGATAAACAAAGCCAGTCACAGTTCCCCGTGTCATCATAGCAAAAAAAAAAAAAAAACAGGGGTCTAAAATCACATATCACATCACCATTGATTCATCTATAATGGCATATTTCACTGCTACATCATCTCTACAGTACGGTAACATCTGTCTGACTGAGTCTGATCCTGTTTGCAGTGTTTACACAGGGTGCGAAGTCCGGTGAGACGCTATATTTAGCTCTGATAGTCAGGCTGTAGTAATCACGCCCACTCAAAGATTGATCATGATCTGCCTTCTTGGTCTGGGCCACATTTAGACTCGTGAATCTTTCATGGATTGAGTGGATCTGTGTGAAGACATGCTCATGTGTTCAATGCAAAATACTAGAGTAACGTTACAGAGCTGGAATACAGGATTGTCAAAAGAGACTGGATATTGCAGACTGCCATGGGGCACACAATCTCACACACACACACACACACACACACACACACACACAGAGAGAAATATCTGTGTGAAGACATGCTCATGTGTTCAATGCAAAATACTAGAGTAACGTTACAGAGCTGGAATACAGGATTGTCAAAAGAGACTGGATATCGCAGACTGCCATGGGGCACACAATCTCACACACACACACACACACACACACACACAGAGAGAAATCAATCCTACTTGAATTAGACTGAATGGAGCAGGTAGCACAGATGAAAAATGACCTGCATTGTGGACAAACCTGCTGGGTGTGTGTATATAACACACAATAAACAGTAAAATAGTACCCTATTTTTTGATATACCATGCTAGGCCTACATAATTAATACTGCAAAGTAAAACGTGAAAGTAAAATGTAGAAAAAGTGTGTGTACATCCATGTATTTGTTTTTGTCTCTGTTTTTCGGTCTGTTTGTGTGGGTGGTTTGTTCACAGTCCTGATGGAAAGTGGGATTGTCATGTTTTCTAATTTTGGTCTTTTGGGAGAAAAGAGTGTCAGATGTGACACCAAGCTGCAATTACACACATATATGTTCTCACACACACACACCATCAGATACTAGATACTAATACTACTTGTGTATAACAATTAGTACACAGCATATTAAACATCTTTAACTTTTTACTTAATTAAAAAAAAAAAAAAATGCATGCATCATAAAAACACTGCTTTGGGATCATTATTAAATAATTTTCAATCTTAATAAATGTTAATAAACATTATATATAGCCTAATATGTGTGTGTGTGTGTGTGTGTGTATATATATATATATACACGTATATATTAGTGCTGTCAAATGATTAATCTCGATTAATCACATCCAAAATAACAGTTTTTGTTTACATAATATATGTATGTGTACTGTGTATATTTATTATGTATATATAAATACACATACAGTATATATATTGAAAATATTTACATGTATATACATTTTTATTCTTATATTTTATATTATATATAAATATATTTAATATAAATATATTTTTCTTAAATATTTACATGCACGTGTTTGTATTTATATATACATAATACATATATTACGTAAACAAAACCCTTTATTTTGGATGCGATTAATCGTATATATATATATATATATATATATATATTCCACTCTCTTATGCTTAAAATACTTTTAACATATTTTACATACTTTTTTTTAATATAATAACAATTTTATGCAATTAATTATTCAAAAGTTTTCTATTTATGTATTATTGTTGTTGTTCTCCTTTTTGTTAGCCTACATTTAATTTTTCAGTTCCAATCGGTATTTAAAAATTTCAAATACTTGCAAGCAATCATGCAATCACATAAAGCAAGAAACCAAAAGGGGCAATAACCATATAATGCATGCACATTTACTGATGTTTTACTAATTACATGTCTTGATCAGCAAATAAATATCAGCCAGTGTTATGTAGTAGCGTACAACTAAGCCTACCTGCCACTGAGGCGTTCTCCAGCACGTTAACTTCAGCGTTTTAAACACTTGAGATCTTCAACAGCCCTGCGGGTTTGTTAGTCCAAATCTCTCATGTTGGGCTCTTCGATCAGACTCATACCGGCGATGATGATGAGGATGATGATGATGATGTTGTTGGTGATGTTGGTCTACAGCGGGTGGGAACAGCGACGCAGCATCACTTCAGCATCATTTCACCTCCAGGAAACAAAAGAGAGCCAGCCAATCCACTCGGAGCGAAAAGGACCTTGTGAAATATTAATCGAAACGCAATCTCTTTCCACCGCGGAGAGTCTCCTGATTAAAATGGAGGCGATCTGACTGTCAGGATGGATGAGAGATTGGAGAGCGAAGCGAAGCGGCGTGATTCACCGGCTCTGCGCAGGTGTTCGTCTGCGTGCGTGCGTGTGTGTGTGTGTCTGAGAGAGAGAGAGAGAGAGAGAGAGAGAGAGAGAGAAGGGGAGAAGAGGCAGAAAGCGTAAAGAATTGGGCAATTAGAGGTGGGATGGAGAAGGAGGAGAGGGGAGGAGAAGAGGGGGTGGAGATGAGGTCAATGTCTCAAAAATATCTCTCACACATCATAAAAACATGAGCCACCATAATGATTTACTTAAAATATACTACATAAATATATTTCATACATTTAATATATAATATTTTTATTTTTAAATTATTTTAATGCAACCAAATTGATGAATACATATTTTATTCATAAATGTATAACAGCAATATGATGTAATATAATATTATAAAATATAATATTCAAATGTCATGAGGAAAATGATACAAGAGAAAACTTTACATCACCTTCTTAAGAAATTATACTGCAATTGTCATTTAAAACCTGAAGCATGATATATTTTTGTGTTGTTAAATAACAGTGCTTGTTAGTTAAAATGAGCTTTAGGAATGCAATTTGATTAGGTTTAATCTGGTAGATTAATTAGCGAGCAATTGTGTTTAATGATGAAATGCCAATTTATTTGCTAGTGGGAGATCATTGCAGCAGCCTATTGTGTGTTGCATATATTTACACACACACACACATTTACATTATATTTAGTAATTTAGAAGACGCTTTTATCCAAAGCGACTTACAAATGATGACAATAGAAGCAATCAAAACCAACAAAAGAGCAATAATATGTAAATAATAATAATATGTATGCTGTGACAAGTCTTGGTTAGTCTAATGCAGTATATGTAGCAAGTTTTTTTTATAATAAATAAAAAGAAAACAAGTAGACAGAACAGAAAAAGAATAGAGAACGCTAGTGTTAGAGGATTGATTTTTTTTCTTCAAACATACACACAAAATTATTTTAAAAATAGTATTAAAAATATATAATGCACATAGCAAACAAACACACAGTTTAAGGAAAATATAATGCCCTCTGCTGGCAAATGTGTTCCACATTCTCAACCATATTCTGAAAACTGTAAATATAAAAAAATGAATATTGTATTATATAGTATAAGAGTATGTAGCATTTATAGTAATAGTGTACTGAAGTGGGCTAATGTGTATCTTTATTGTCAAAACCATGTTTCACGCATCATCCATCCTAATAAGGAAGTCAGATGCATGTCCAAATACATTAAAAAAAAATTGCAATTAAAGGGAATTTATCATGCCTTATGGTTAAGCATCTGCAGGTTGCATCTTAAGAACTCAAGAGCTACTAAAAATACAACCCCTCTGTCACCACGCCGTCTTTACACAAGAATCTTGAGTAGTTGCAGGGTTGCAATTAGTCTCCCGAGAGCTTTCTTTAATGGGGAAGTTGATATATGACAAATAAATGCGAATTTGGTTGAGCTAAATCTTTTAATATTTTAATGATAGCCATACAGTCTGTTTAACAATCAAACCAGTTTACCCAAACTGAGACTAGAGGCTCTGCGAGTGGTAACATCATTTGTGAGCTTGTCATAGGACATGCATCTCCACACAGTGCAGAATGTAGGACAAGTGAAAATACGTTTTTTATATATATATCCCGCTGATGGCAGTTTTGTTCAGTAACTCTTTGTCCATGTCAGTAGCAGTTAGGAACAGAATGTGTTCTATCTGACCCCTAGAAAAAATGTCCTTGTAAAGATCCTGTTAGAATTTCTATATCCAATGAAATAAGCTGTGACTGTGCTGAAGGCAAAATTATGCACAGCAAAAGACATTTTGTTGGCAAAATATCATTTTCTTTAACTAAAATCTGTTTTGTAAAAATAATCATCACACATACCATAGAAGACGGCGGTCATGGCTTTACTGAATCTTCCAGACACCTAATACAACTTGAGTATAAACTCCAGCTCACAGCCTGAACAAGAACAATGACATTAATACTAATCTAGGCAGAATGGCAAGAAAACAGAAACAGATGCTCCTGCAACAGCAATGTGCCAAAACCACACATTTATTCAAACTATTAGTTGTACTGTTAAGCTTTGCCCAGGTAAAATTAGGCACCTTATATTTAAAACAGATCGTTTTACTGCTGGTAAAATTCTGTGAAGTCATTCGGGTATGTTTGAAATGGAATAATGCTGCATATTTTGCAGTATAAACTGCGTAATGCCTACTGTGTATAACAGTATGCCACGCTAAAGGTTTTTGTTGCATGAGCTCATGACTAATATGTATATTTTGCTTTTTTATCTTTTGCAGGTTGATCAAATTATGATTGAAGATACATCACCTAAAAATGAAAATATGCTGAAAATGTACTCACCCTCGGATCATCCAGGATGTAGATGAGTTTGTTTCTTAATGGAAACAGATTGGGAGAAATGGAGCATTTCATCACTTGCTCAGCAGTGGATCCTCTGCAGTGAATGGGTGCCGTCAGAATGAAACAGCTGATAAAAGCATTGCAATAATCCACAAGTAACACACACCACTCCACTCCATCAATTAACATCTTGTGAAGTGAAATGCTATGGATTTGTAATAAACAAAACCATGAATGTGTTTTAACCATCACTTCTAGCCAAAATATATCCGTAAGTCCACAATCCATTATAAAGCTTCCTCTAGTGAAAAAGTCCATCTTGTTGTCCTCTCACATCAAAACCCACCCACATATTTGCTCAGAACTCTTTTGGACTGTTTTGGCTTGTAAACAGTGCACATTTCTCTCCTGATTCAGATGAAGCGACTTTATCACTGGAGAAAGCAATATTATGGATAGAGGACTTTACCAATAGTTTAAATGTCTATTACAATGTTATTACATTATCATTATGACTTTATTACAAAATTGCAGCTTTTTGAGTCACAAGATGTTAATTGATGGAATTTTTCCAAATCTGTTCCAAAAAACAAACTCATCTACATCTTGGACGGCCTAAATTTGAGTAAATTTAGATTAGAACTATTCCTTTAATCTGGGTATTGTATGCATACAGAAAAACAACATACTGTGCACAGCATACATAGTGCACACTAAAAATAGTAGTGTGCATTAGTAATGGTAGTATGACATTCTGAACATACCCTCAGGACTTTTAAATCTGTCAAGCTTTTAGATTTCATTTGCTCTTCTTTGAGCACTGTATTATCTGATTTGCAAAACGATGTGTGTCTTTGTGTTTGGAGTGTTTGACTACTTGAGTTTCGAATTGGTAGTTTTGAAACATCTTGATTAAATGAGTTGTGTGTTTCTTTATTCTGGTAGTGGATCATGTAAGTTGATTGAGTTTTGTCTGGGTTTGATTAAGCCGTATCGCTGAAAGCTAACGAGTTGCTTTCATGTTCTGCTCCTGTTTGGCCATCTGGATGCGTCTGAGATCAAACAGTCACAGGCTGGGCAGGGAATGGACATCTAATGAGGACAAGAACATCTTACAAAGGTTGTCCATTTAACACTGTCATATTACCTTTTTTTCCACGGAAAGAGAGTTTATTTTTGGTCTGGGATCTGCGCGGAGTGTTTTTGTGTTCAGTTACCCCTCTGGTTGGTTGGTTGCTGTCCGATTTCCTGGTCTTCAAGCATTGACGAGAGAGGACTGCAGGGACTGTTTAACTCTGCCACTGACCTGGAAGAGATCGTCAGACAATGAAAACACTCTTCTGTCTGTAAATACACAATTTTACACAATGCATTAAGTGCTAGCAAACGAAAGACATATTGTATTACTGGTTTCTGAAGACCTCTGCTGGAAAGACTGTTTTTAAATGTGATGTAGGTGAGCATGTGAGGTGTTTGTCTTTATGTATACCTAAAATACCTATATTACAATATATTCATAAATACTCGTACATAAACACAGTTTAAGCTGTCAGTATTATGAATCTGAATTTTAACGTTTAAAGGAATGATTCCGGTGAAATACAAGTTAACAGCATAAATAACTTATAGGCAAGCTTACAACGATTGCTTCATGAGTACATTTCGATCAACACATTTACAAACTAAAATACAAGTCTAAATTATTTTCTATTGTAAACAGCAGCATGCTGAACTTAGAATATTAAAGCTAGAACACTTTCATTCTCATTTTAGTCCTTATGTTGTGTTCCAGTCATTTTTATTTTTCTTGGAAATGCTAGTTAATGTTTTTGACTGAAAATTTTTTTTTTAATAATTTTTGGGGGTGAAAAATGACATTTTTTGGTGAAAAATGACAGCCTACAAAAATTGCTTATAAATTATGCTATATTACCAATTTTTTTTTGATTGATTATTATTGAATTCAACGTTTTTTAACAACTTGTTTTCTTTCAATTAGGACAGGCTTTGTATTTCATTTTTGAACTAATTGACTGAAGGCCTCATTGATTTGAGCTTATGCACCTCAGTTTTTCAGTGAAGCATTATTTGTGGGTAATTTTGGCCATGTTCACTCAAAAACCGAGGTGCATAAATTCAGATCAGTAATCAGTTCCTAAAAGTAATACAAAACCTGCTATTTGAATAATAAACAAGTTGACAAAAAGATTGAATCCAAGATTTGGTGATAATCCAGCATAATGAAAGATTTGCAACCAATCTTTAAAATGCTGGGCGTTTTTGACCTGGTAACACAAAATTAGGTAAAGCACAGCACAAGGGTTAGTGATGGATTGCATGGTTTAAAATATTGTATGATTTTAATGTTTAACGTTTATACTTAAAATAGGATCTGGTCCTTTTGTAAACAGCATTTCAGATGTGAACATGGTCAGTTTTTGCATTTGCAGCAGGTGCTGGACATTGGCGACAGGCTTATCATTCCCAATGAGTACACAGAGGAGAAGAAGACCTCAGGGATTTGATGGAAGCAGCTGGTTGCCAGAGCAACGGCAGGACCGATATCCAGGACAGGAACCTTTTGGGCCGAATTAAAGTTTTTTCTTATGCATGTGCGTACATCATTAGCATTTCTCAATATTTAGAC